TCTGAAGCTAATAGCTATCTAGATGTGAGTCATTCACATTGTGTTCTGTATATGTTTAATATAATAACATAATAGATATTTTGAATATCAGAAAAGCTCTGTTTAAGAAGTCATGAGCTAAGTTTTCCATTCTACAATACCTACATGTTTTCTCCCCCAGCTGAATTTAAATGTCAGCCAGGCCGATTTCAGTGTGAGACTGGACTCTGTGCTCTGCCCGCTTTCATCTGTGATGGAGAGAATGATTGTGGAGACAATTCTGATGAACTCAACTGTGGTAGGTGATTAAATTCCTAACTAAAGAACATAAATCTAATTCTTAACTGATTATGTCTGCACTGATTTAAATCCAGACACAGGTCTTAGGTCAGAATTTTTTGTTCTTTCTGTCATTTAGACACACATGTCTGCCTGTCAGGTCAGTTTAAGTGTACCAAGAACCAAAAATGTATCCCGATAAACCTTAGATGTAATGGACAAGATGATTGTGGTGATGAGGAAGATGAAAGAGACTGCCGTAAGTCACCTCAAATACTTTGCCTTGCCTTGCTTTTGACTCCCAACTTAAGCTGGTCCAAAAATTATTATTATGATACATAAATTTATACAGTGTAGAGGCAATACAAAACAATAATTATGGTCAAATAATTATAAGTAGATGCCAATTGGGATAGATTATTTAAGAACTCCTATATAAAAAGTATCATGTAGGTTATGTTTACTTTAAAAGCTACCTGCAAATTACGACAAACACAGACAACATTCAGTCATCTGCATCATCCTTAAGAGAAGCATCAGATAGGATATTGCAGTTGATTACTCTTTTGTTTTTTATAAATTGATTTTTTTGCTGATATTAAGTTGTTACGGGTAATTTACTTCTGTTGATTAGTTACTTGAAATCAACTCTATTTTAATTAGAAATTTTTTTCCCATGAAATATATATTGAATTTATGATGAGACATACAAAATCCAGACAAAATAACCTAACAAAATTAGTTGAACAAAATTGTGAATAATATTCCATTTAATGTATCTTAACAGGATACTTGAAAGAATAATAGTAAAACATTTCTGATTCTTTTCGCCTCGTATTTCCTTCTTCCACCAAAAATCAAATTGCATTAAATGAAAGGCAAAAGAGTTTGCACCATATGCATACATGCACATAGGCAGGTGTGCATGTGTATACACACACACACGCACACACACACACA